AAAAATGTTACCGATATAAACAGATTGAATGGTTGATGGATCACTGTTGCCAATAACCAATGAAAAAGACTTTAGTATTTATCCTTAGTTTGGCAAAGTCCTCTCTCTTGATTAAAACTGGCAACTGTAGGGATAAAAGGACATCTGAAATATTGTACCTGATAAAGGTTCTGATGAAATGTGTTCCCCAAAGGCTTGAATCCTACCCTTCTCTGTAAGAGCTGTGACCCCTTGGAAGGGTTGACTGATTTTAGGAGAGATTGTAAGATGCCCGCTGCTAACACGCTGATGATTGAACAGATCTGGAAACAGTACCAGAGTCATACCAGCTTGCAGCTCGGCATTTTAAGGAAATGTGAGTTTGGTGCCCGTTTGCCTTAAACCATTGTCAACAAAAGTAACACAGGAGCTGCTTAAGAAGCAGCATCGACATCTGTGTCGTGGAGGGGGAGTTGACAGCCAGACGCAGTAACCGGGTATCTTCCCCCAGGGCAGGTCACCCTCACTGTGAGTCCAATCCCTACAGCTACAGTTGGTGGGTTGGTTTTATACTATCTGTGGAGGTCTAAGGTTCAAAGGTATGGTGTGTCACACTTGGGAACATTTCTTCTAGCCTGAAAATTACAATCTGCAACATTAAAAAAAAAGTATCAGAATTCTAATCTTTCATTGCCTCAGACTCATTTTCTCCTTAAGGATGGGAAGACTATTTGCATATGCATTGATTAAATGGAATGCATTTGTTGTTTCAGATGCGTTCATAGTGAATTGTTATAATTTAATCTAGGCTGTGCAGGGTCCTGGGGGGAAGCAACCAAGTGCAATATGTATCTGCATCATTAAAAATAATTTAAGTGTGATGACAGCTGGAAAATAACTGTACAAGTGATTTCAGGGTGTTCCATATTTATTCCCTGGTAATGATAAATCGTTGTTGGTTTTCTCAGTTTACAAGTCAAAAAGCAGTTTTTTAACACATCAGCCTCCAGTCTGGGCTCTGTAAGTCAAGTAAATTGAGCAGACACCTGTGTAACATTTAGTCCTTGTTACCACAAATTCAAGCTTCTCACATTCATTCCTTCATTTAATCCCCAAAAGTCCCCTTAAGGTAGGTAAATATTATCTCCATATTACTGGTGGAGAACTGAAGCGTAGGGCAGGCTGAAAGTAACTTTACAGTAAGTAGCTTTAAAGAAAGGGCTTTTAAATAATCTGCAAGTCTTAATCTCTGAAGTTAGCTGAATATTTTTGATGTTACTCTAGGCAATTTCTTCACTGATAAACTGCCTGTGACTGAACCGACCATGTCTTCTGGGACCAAACATGGTTTGTTATCCTTAGTTACACAGGGAGTTAACAGGTAAAATGACAAAGTGCCATTTTTATATTAAAACAGAATTCTAAATAGAATTTTGTTCAAACACCATCCTGTTGTGATATTTGGGGTATATGACAGGGGTTAATGGATGAAAAGATTATAGATTTATTGATCACACATAATCCCTAAATGATTTTTGAACTGTATATAGGGATCACTTAATCTCCTGCTGGAAAACAACCACATGTGAGCTGGGAAGCAGCAGCTATGGGAGAGCTCAGAGCACTATTACGTGACAGTTGAGAGGGGAAAGCAGAAGAGCTCTCTTTCCCATGCCAAATACTCCTGTGGATAAAATCTAATTACCTACTGAAGTGTGATGGCAACTTAAAGAAGAAAGGCCACATTGGAAAAGCAAAACTAAAAGTCATATTATTAAGGAAAGAGATGTAAAAATGAAATTATCACTGTCTTATTTTGTTTAATAGGTACTTTTCCCCGGTCTTTAGTGTAATTAAGCCCTCAGTAGGACTATCAAAAATCTATATATAAAATACAGCAACTAAATTCTTCCTCAGTTTCTGTACTCGCATGTGCACTGACTCTTTCATTCTTTCCTTCTGATGTAAGACGAAGTCAAGGTATGAACCAGGTAAAGCTAAATGGACGTATAGGTACCATGCAGTACGATTATCCCAGGATTTTTTTATTGGCCAATAGGACAGCTCTGCAGTACTGTTCTCTGCGTGAAGTGTTTTCTGGTAAAGGAGTGGTTAAGCCTTGTCCAGCAAGACCAAGACTTTACACTCATTTGGAGGTGGGTAAATAAAGGTCTTGAAGACCAAAATCAAGGCTGCATCTTGATCCTTTCAAAGGCAAAACTCTAGGACCAGATCAGAAAAATAATTCACAAGAATTGGCTGTCCTAAATATGTTCTGTTGGTCATTCTCTGAATGCCACCACTAGTTTGGTTAATTATAGGG